AGGGGAAGGCCTGTGGGGGGAGCGCAGCCGGGCAGAGAGGTGAGAGCCTGGGGGCGCAGGCAAAGCGCATTGCTCACCGGGCGCGGGGGCTGTGCAGCCCCATCTCACAGCACCACGTGAGGGCTGGCCGGGTTTCAGTTGGGCCACAGCAGCTCTTCCCTGGGTAGGTAGTGTCTCCTCCAAGCCAGCCCCCTGTGCAGCTGGAGCTGCCTGCAGACTGGAACGGCCAGAGGAGCACGGGCCTCCCTGGCTGGAGCTATCTGGGCACACGCGGCGCTCGCTCCGCTCTCCCTCCCCGCCACAAGGGAGGGGTCCACGCTGGTGGCTCGTCCCAGAAGCCCGTAGGGTTCCGCTCCGTGGCCCTGGAGTTGGATCTCTGGAGCAGTGACTCTACCCGCCAGTGTTGCACTGCTACCTATTGCCAGGTTTGCACAAAGCTTTTCCCCCTCCAGGACCCTGTGCAGCCTGGGTCGGGTGGGTGTGCTCAGCAGTATCCTCTGTCCTTGTGCCCTCAGGGCTCAGACACTCCAGCTGTGCGTCCTGCTGACTTTTTCCTTTGCCCCCAGACCTCCAGCGGACAGCCCCTCCAGGCAGCAGGCTGCAGCCACCCCGCAAGGTGACCTTGCCCAGCTCTCTGAAGTAAAGCTCTCTTGGTGCACGAGCTGTTCGGGAGCGGAGCCGCTGATCGGAGCAGCCTCGCCAGTGCCGCATGTGGGTTCCTTCCTAAACAGCATGGACACATCAGGAGTGAAGCTGCCTTGACTGTGGGGCAGCCCCTCTGCCCTGTGCCCAGCCCTGTGTAGGATTCCTGTGACAGGAGCTGCCCATCCCCATGGCCTCTTTCCTCCTCGGGCCTGGGGCTCCCCTTTAGAAATCACTTGAGCTTTGGCACAGGACCTGCAGCAGGACTGGACAGTGACTCTAGAAAACCTGGATCCATGTCATCTCACCACATGGGCTTTAGGCTCTAATCCTGCCCCAGTATCTGCCCATATCTGCCTGCCCCACTCCGCTTCCTGCTGTGACACCGAACTGGACCAAAGCAGCTTGAGACCAGATGCTTCGAGACCCTGATCCTCCTTGTGCTGGCAGAACCGTCTACCCATGGGCTGTTGTGGTGCTGTGCCTGGACATCCCCAGCAGCATGTGCCTGCTTGAAAGGTGCAGGAGAACCTGAACCGCCCGTTTGTGAGCTCTGGAGGGAAGGCTCTTTGGTGTTTCGAGTGAGAAATGTCCTGCATCGGGACGGAGCGGGTTGCTGGACCATACTGGCTTTGCCTGGTCCACCAGGACAGGTGCACCAGTTGGGGCTTAGCAGTTCTGGACAGAGTGGCCCAGAAAAGGGGCTTCTCTGCAAGATCCGGATCCAGTCTGATTCTGAAAGGCGGCTGCAGTGCCTTGGGGAGTTGTAGTTCAGGTGCCTTGTGCCTGTCTGTCAGGGTTGGGCTCCTTCCTCTCACTGCATCTCCCATGGTGCACCCTGGGAAGGGGAGCTGGTACCTCCCAGTCTGTGCACCAAGCTCCCTGCTTGGATTCCAGCTCTGCTCTGGCCCTGTGCCATGATGGAGATGCCCGCAGGCCTTATTGAGAGGGGAGGCCATGGAGCATGATGGGAAAATATCTCCAAGAGTGACATTACAGCTGGCAAATGTACAGAGAAGGGCACCAAAAGTGAGTTGCTTCTGCCAGGGAGAGCAAAATGCCTGGGACAGTCCCACTTGGACAAAAGTGGGGGGGGGCTCTGCTCTGGCCCTGTGCCATGATGGAGATGCCCGCAGGCCTTATTGAGAGGGGAGGCCATGGAGCATGATGGGAAAATATCTCCAAGAGTGACATTACAGCTGGCAAATGTACAGAGAAGGGCACCAAAAGTGAGTTGCTTCTGCCAGGGAGAGCAAAATGCCTGGGACAGTCCCACTTGGACAAAAGTGGGGGGGGGGGGGGGGGGGGGAGGCGCTGGTGTGGGGGGGGGGGAATGAACAGGGAAGTGTTCTTTTCCCTGCACATCATGTCACTGAGTGATCCCTGGATCTCTGTTGCCAGGCTAGGGTTTTCAGCCTAGCCAAAAGAAGCCTCTCGTCACACAACACCCAGCCAGCCTGTGGCGCTCTGCCAGGAGCTGTTGTGAGGGCCAAAGTGTCCAACATAAAGCCGAGACGTTCTTGGAGGGTAGGCCCAGCAAGCTGGGGGGGGATGCAGCCCCACACTGTCTCCCTAGCCCGCTTGAGAATTGCCCAGGTCTGGTCACTCTGAACCTGTCCCTGCCTGTTGCTGGGAGACGGCGCTGGCCAAGCCGGCCCTTTGGCCTTTATGTTCTTAGCTTTGCCCAGCAGCCCAGGCAAGAGAAACAAACGGGAGCATGAAACACCTGAACTACAGCCCCCAGGAGGCACTGCCGCTGCATCAGAACCACGCCAGGGTCGGGGTTTTCAACAAAAACGGGACAATCTTTGGACATTAGCGGTGCCTCAAAATTCCTTCAGGTGAGAGCCACACTGTGGCGGAAGGCTGGGGCGTGGTGGTAAGGCCCTGGGCAGCTGCCCTGCTGTCAACCCTGGGGCAGGCCCTGGCACCGGGCAGCAGGGCTCGGTTTCCACAGCAGCCCTGGCTCCTGCCATGCAGTTGAACCGCAACCTGCCAGTCTGGCTTCAGGCTGAGCCAAGAGCCCAAATGGTGCCTTCCCCTGGCCAGTGAGCAGTGCAGTGGGAATGGCCCTGTGTCCGAGGGGGCCAGGCAGGCTGCATGGCAGGGCCCCAGGCTCTGGGGGGGAGGATGCCAGCAGCAGCCCAGCACAAAGGGAGAAGCCCAGCTGTTTGAAAAACCCCTCTCCCTCGTGTTCACCTGGGGGGGTGACACCCCTCCTATCCACAAGTGCTGCCGTGAAATGCTGTGAACCCAGCCCCCTAGGAGTGGTGTGAAAAGCTGATGGCTGGTGAAACTAGCCCTTGTGGAAGGGGCTGGCTCTCTTCAATACATTCTCTTTTTAGACAAACCTGGTGGCTGCTGGTCTCCTGCTAGGCTGGGGGGTGCCCAAAGCTGGGGAGAGGCCAGGAGCCAAGCAGAGGCCTGCCCCCTGCCAGCCTGTTATGGGTGCTGGGTCCCTTTCCCTTGTCGGGGAGCCCTCTGCAGATCCTATGGGCAGAAGGGCAAGGTGGCCCACAAATCGGCTCAGCTGCAGCCCAGTTCCCAGGCAGGGCACCACAAACCCAGCATGGAACCAGCCACAGGCTGGGCCTGACCCACCCCCCCTGCACCTCTGGGCACAGCCAAGATCAGCACCCTGGCAAAGTGAGGCAGGTGCATCACTCCCTGGCCTGTGGTGGGGCCTGGCCAGTCCTACGGCACAGGGCAGTGCCCCCATGAGGTGAGCAGGCTGCCCAGCGCTGGGTGCTTATAGCCAGCAGTCAGGCCCTGCCACGGCAGCCGGGGTCAAGCCGTGTGCCCCGGGGTCAGTCCTGAGGTCGATTTTGTTCAACAGCTTCATTAGTGGGTTGGATGGTGGGTTGATTTGCACCCTCAGCACATTAGTGGATGACACTAGACTAGGGGCAGAGACAGATACGCTGGAGGGCAGGGACAGGGTCCAGAGTGACCTGGACACATTGGAGGATTGGGCCACAAGAAATCTGATGAGGTTCAACAAGGACAAGTGTAGAGTCCTGCCCTTGGGACGGAAGAATCCCAAGTATTGGTACAGGCTGGGGGCCGACTGGCTAAGTAGCAGTTCTGCAGAAAAGGACCTGGGGGTTACAGTGGATGAGGAGCTGGATATGAGTCAACAGGGCGCCCTTGTAGCCAAGAAGGCTAATGGCATATTAGGTGCATTAGGAGGAGCATTGGCAGTAGATCTAGGGAAGTGATTCCCCTTTATTCAGCTCTAGTGAGGCCACATCTGGGGTATTGTGTCCAGTTTGGGCCCCCCCCCCCCACCCACGCCAGCCCATTCAGAAGGCAACAGAAATGCTGAGGGGACTGCAGTACGTGGCCTACAAGGAGAGGCTGAGGGATTCGGGCTTGTTTAGGGCGAGGGGGAGCTTGATAGCAACCTTCAAGCCAGGCTGTTCTCAGTGCTGGCAGGTGACAGACCGAGGAGCAATGGTCTCTAGTTACAGTGGGGGAAGTCTTGGTTGTATATTAGGAAAAACTATTTCACTAGGAGGGTGGTGAAGCACTGGAATGGGTTACCTAGGGAGGTGGTGGAATCTCCATCCCTCTGGATGTTTAAGTCTTGGCTTGACAAAGCCCTGGCTGGGTTGATTTAGTTGGGATTGGTCCTGCCTTGGGCAGGGGGCTGGACTTGATGACCTTCTGAGGTCATTACCTATGATTCTATGATTCTATAAATCACAAAACTTCCAATTGTATCTAGAGCTGGCTGGTCAAACCCACTGAGGAGCAAGTGAGATTTTCCCACCTCTTCCCCATAGGTGTGGCCCTGCAATAAGTGATTCTGCCACCCCCCATTGGAGGGCCCATGCCCCTGCTGAGCCCCCGACCAAGACCTTCATGGGGTAGCCTTCGGTGCCAGCCATGGACGCCTTCTCACCAGGAGCTGCCAGCAACCTGACGCCACAGCAAATGCCCAGCAGCTTTGGGGGCCTGCTGTGTACTGGGCTGTGTGGGGCAGAAGGGCTGTGAGCCTGCCCACAGCAACTTGCGCCCTCTGGGCCACCCCCTCCCCAGGCTGTGGTGCACCCAACACCCAGGGAAAGGAGGCACAACCAGGCTGGGTCTTTAAATAAAAAAAGCGTCCAGCAGGCGCCATCAAATTAACAATTACACCAGCCAGCTTTGGGGGCCTGCTGTGTACTGGGCTGTGTGGGGCAGAAGGGCTGTGAGCCTGCCCACAGCAACTTGCGCCCTCTGGGCCACCCCCTCCCCAGGCTGTGGTGCACCCAACACCCAGGGAAAGGAGGCACAACCAGGCTGGGTCTTTAAATAAAAAAAGCGTCCAGCAGGCGCCATCAAATTAACAATTACACCAGCGTCAATACAAGGCCTGGGGCGGGGCCGGGCTGGGCCAGTGCAGGAGCTGAGCGGGTGGGGGTCTAGGTGTGGCAGGGCCCTGGCCTGGTGGCAGGGGCGCCCCTCGCTCACACTCCCCATTGTAGCAAGTGCTGTACAAAATAGCAACTGTGCCAGGACACCCACAGGGGTCTCGCCTCCCCCCCACTTCTGGTGCTGCTGCTGGGGGCCCGGCCGCCCTCCCAGCATAGCCAGCACTAAGGGCTTGAGCCTATAGCAGCCTTGGGCATCTCCTGCCCCTGGGGCAGTGCGGGTGCCTCCCAGAGTGGGTGCAGAACAGGGCTGCCCCAGCCCCCGGGGTGCCCTGTGATGCTGCCCAGACATGCTGGAGGCCATGGGCCAGCTGAAGACGCAGACAAGCTCAGCCTTGCACTGGGGCCAGCCCAGCCCAGCTCCTTCCCACATGTAGTCATGCGGAGAGCCCCGGAGTCTGCCAGGCAGCCCAGTCCTGGGTGGTTTTAAGGCTGCAAAGGGAATACCCCCAGCAGGGCCGTGGGCTCACTCCAGGCCTGGGGGGGGGGCAATAGGAGCAACCAGCAGCAATGGAGTCAGTGCTCATCCGTCAGCAGCCACCAGCCCACTGCTAGGTCCATTGGCAGCGCCACGCGGTGCCCTCCGGCGAGCCGTGTGCGGAGCAGTGGTCAGCAGGGCTCAGCGCATTCAGCAGCTCTTCCCGTCCATCCGTGGGGCTGGCCCTGCCCTGCTCAGCACCAGCCCGCAGGGGTCTGCATTGAGCACAAAAACCTGAGGGGTGGAGAAGGCACATTGGGTCCTCCCGCTCCTGCTGGAGGGCCTGTGGGGGCACCTGTGCAGCTTGTGCCCTCAGTGGCAGGCCCCACTGGCAGCTGGTCCCTGGGATGGCGGGTCCCCGTCAGCTGGCGGTTGATCCCTGGGCAGGGGCCCTCAGATGGAGGTCTCGTCACTCCTGCTCAGTGACACACCGAGAAGGGGGGGAACAAACACACGGATGTATGGTCATGAGCAGACAGGCCCCCAGCAGGCTGGCCAGGCGGGCGGCAGAGCCATGTTAATGGAGGAAATTAAAGAACAGAAATCTGGGTGGTTGGAGGTGGGAGACAGAGGAGAGAAGGTGGTTAGTGCGAGAGTGGGGAAGGAAGCAGAGGAGTTAGAGCAGGACAGCACCCCGGCAGAACCCCCCCCCCCGCCTCCCCACAGCCCCAGACGCCCGGGTCAAGCCCCAGGCCAGCTGCTCATTCTCAGCACGTAGTCATGGAACTGGGGGGCTCGCCCTGGCGGGGGGGTGGGATCCAGGCCCAGAATGTGGACCTGGTGGACCAAGGCAAGGGGGGAGATGCCAGCTCCTGTGCCAATGAGGCTGATGCTGGTGCCAGGGAGGGGAAGGAGAGGCCGTGGTGACAAGGGAGCATCTCATTGGGGCACAGGGCCTTGCCAGGAGCATGATGGGAATGGCAGCAGGTTCAGCCGTGGGCACCTACTCGGAGCCGGAGGAGTCCTCATCCGCTGTGCCGGCCTTGATGCTCATGGTGATGGGCGTCACCCCATTGAGCTGCTCCTGCAGTGTCTGGCGGGGGCGGGG